ATAGACAAGGGGATGTCCTCCACGGAGATGCTAATGTGGTATTATAAGTTCGATAAGTTCCTAAAGGCACAAATCAAGAAGATAGGAGACGAAGCCCTTGATTCTGCATTCCACAGTTCCGAGTCCTGGGTCCACATGTTCATGGAGGTCATAGCGATCAGTGGTGCCATATATGGTATCGTATTCTCATTGTGTCTGTGCCTGATTGCTGTAGTTATCTTCACTGGGCACTTAATGCTGTCAATCATTGCAATTTTTACCATATTAGGTAAGTGAAATGGTTCATTATTCATTATCGTACCCAGATCCCTCTCAATTTCCCGACGGAAAGTCGTCGGCTCTGGTTGGAAACAAATCATTCTTTGATTTGATTGGTTTGAAAATTCCCATGGATTATATCATACGATCCAGATTCTGGATCTTCCAGTATCGTCTCCATCCAGAGCCTTCGGTTTTCCTTTGGGAACCTGAGATGGGTCTGGGTACAAGAATGGTTCAATATTTAGGTTCTTGGCAGAACTTAATATTTCTACAAATTTGAAAGATTTTACAGAAAATGTCTGATGTTTGTGTACATGCAAAATCTCAAAATAGCAAGAATCAGAGTTCAAAAAAGGATCACTCAACAAATCCTGAAAATTTTAGACCAAAACCGCTTTAAATATCGAGAAAAACTACAAAATCTTGAAAAAATTTTAAAATTTTTCTGGAAATTTTTTTAAAATTTTAACTTTTGCGAACACACCTAATCTTCACGGCTATTGTCAGCGGTATGGTGACGTCGCATTGACATCCGCTGGATGGCAAAAGTGAAGGCTCTGGGTTCAAGATTGCTGTAAACTTTTACCATGTATTCTCATTTAGGTGTACTATGTTTTGTGGTTGGTATTTTCTACCTTGTTGAATGGCAACTAGGAGCAGTCGAGGCCATATCCCTGTCAATTCTTGTCGGGACTTCGGTGGATTATTGCGTCCATCTTATTGACGGATATATAATATCTGGAAAATATGTACCAAGACATCTTACAAGAAATAAGGTATGCTACAAATGTATTGATTATTTTCAACCATTCACATGAGATTGAAAAGATAAAAGACCGGCGGCCATGTTGGAGGAATGAACAATAGATACTAATGAGAAATCCTTTGTTGAAGTTCCTCCAAGATGGCTGCTGTGACGTATAGTGAAGACGAAGAATTGCACTATGAAATCCGAAGGGGAAAGGGGGGGGGGGGCTTTTTTATCTCGTCAAACATCAAACATATCTTCAAAAATATGCCTTGAAAATCGAATTTTTGTGCTTAAAAAGTCCTGTAATTTTGTAGTGAAAATGTAGTACGAACCCAGATGATTCCTTGCATTAAAATCATACTGTTTGTACAGGATATCAGGAGCTGGCGAACAGCGGCTGCAGTTTCCCACATTGGATCTTCGATACTAAGCTCTGCCATGACAACCATTGCAGCCTCAATTCCTCTATGTTTCACAACCATCCAACTCTTTGCCAAGTTTGGTCAAATCCTAGCTATTAACACAGCCATATCTATTGTGTATACATTGTCGTTTTCGCTAGCATTTTTAACAATATTTGCACCCGCGAAATTTATACGCACTTGGAAGTCCAGGGGTATAGCGGTCGTAGCTATAGCTATAGTTGTTGGCATGGTGACCTTAATTCTTTACATCATAAGCCTTAAAGGTACCCCCATCCCAGGGCCTGATGGGAATCCCTTGTTTAGCGTATAACGGGTTCCCTGTGTGATATTGTAAGGGTTACTTGCGAGCTATCTGTTTTGTTTTTTTTAAGACAATGGGTTCCCTGTGGATCCTTTGACGAAAAGTCCCGGTTTTGATACGGGACTGGTGTCTATTTTAAAGTAATGAATCTTTTAACTGTAAACTAGATGTACACACTAGATTGTGCACACATGGGCTTCCTGTGGTTYGTTGACCGAGAGAGACTGAAACGGTTTTGAAATTAAAGCTTAGTAMAGTCTTTCGGTTGCCGGTTAAATTTTATAAGAGGAAAACGGGAATTTTTTGTTATTCGGGATGCCTGTGGACATTCGGTCGAGAGAGACTAGGTAGAATAGATTGTTTAACTATCGATGTAGTTGGAGTAAAGAAAATTGTTTTAGTCTTTTTAAATGCACCGCGAAATATAAAAATAAARAATAGTCTGTATATAGTGTTAAAAAAAAAATTCCAAATGGAGACGCTTTGAATATCCGACCACAGTAACTTTAAATCTTCAAAACCTACAAATTACAGATTTTGTAAACTCAGAGTTATGACTTGGGCTTCCTTTGGTCGGAAGCCGTTACGTAACCTGTTCGTTACGGGTTATAACGTAAACGTAATCATACAAAGCGTCTACGTGTGGGTATAGAATCTAAGAATTGCTTTTGTATAAATTTTATTGCGAGTCCAAAGATCTCTTGGGCTACCTGTGTTAACATAAGGACGTKATGAYGTGKACTGGATAGTGGATAGTGATTTAGTGCRTCCACTCTAATTATTTCACRGGTGTWRAGTACAAACACAAAAAGCGTGAAAAAGTACTGGTGTGRTTTTTATTAAACCGTGAAATACACTTTAGCGTTCTGTRATTTCTTATCTGACCATACTTTAATGTAGTTCTTAACAGCAATGGTGTATCACATATTWAAGCGGAACCTCGATAAACCGGCCACAGCAGGGACATCAGAGAGTACCTGTTTTAACCGTCGATAACAATGTGGCCGTTGAAACGGAGTAGTCGGAATAAGCGGGGTGGTCGTAATAAAGAGGTTCACTGTATTAAACTCTAACTATTAAAGTTTGTTTCACGGCTTAATGAAAACCAGAGGACCATTCGTCTTTTAGTCCTGTAATGGGTCGCGAAATTTTGTAGACGTCCACACGATTTTCKACCAAAGTTGTGACCAACTGGGTTCAGTTTACACAATATTAGCTTAGCCAAATTATATAGACAAGTAACAAAATTGGAAAATAAAAAGCACGCATATTAAAACTCGATCTTTAGATTCATTTGATTCACTCTTGTGGCCGTACCAGCCCCCCATTGATGATAAAGTGCAGGCATAACCTCTGTAGATTCATTTCAGTCAGTCTTGTGGCCGTACCAGCCCCCCATTGATGATACAATGCACGCCTAAACTCTGTAGATTCATTTGAGTCAGTCTTGAGGCCGTCCTAGCCCCCTGTTGATGATAAACACGCGCATAAACTCTACAGCTTCATTTAGTATTTTTTTGTTCTGATTCTTGATAAAGACCGCAAAATAAATAATCCTGTTAAACCCGCTACACTGCGCATTTCTCAGAAACTCGTCTGTCAACGGCGTAATAAGTAGCTTAGAAATACACATTATAACGGGGGCTATCAAGGAATTGCCCTTCCACGTTTTGAGCACGTGTCTCAAAAAGTGCGAGAAATGTCTCAAAAGTTGCTTGAGGGGCCTGGTGATGCAAAGTGCAATGGCTTAGGAAATTGCTATAAACCGTGGTGAAAAGTCCACTTGAGGCGGACTCTTCTTCGTGAAACGCCAAACGCATAAATGATTCAAGGCAACACTTCAATTCTGCTGTATTGTTTCGTCCCTTGCCAAGCAACTTGCTGAGAAAATTGAGCATAAACAGCCCATTCAGACGGGTAACTTTAAACTTGCACGCTCCCTGACCTGCCTCCAGGACGCGATCTAAAAGTAGACATTTAAGTGGTATTTAGTAATCGCCTACTTAGCATGAATTGCTTTAAATGAAGTTAAAAGCAAAAGATCGTGAAGTGCCTGCACAAAACATTGCAGGAGGTATCTGCAGATTTTCTTTCTCCCGAAAACCGAGAAACGATGTGATCAGTGCAACGGAACGGCTCTCGACACTGTTGCCTTGTTTGGCATTCACATTTAAAAAAAAACGTTGCATTTCATTGAGATCACGACTAAAACACGCGGTCACAGAATAAAGATACCGCATACTTTTTCCACACCCACACAAACTTTAATACACTGAATTTACGAGCTCCTAGTGTTACCCTATTGACGCCGAAAAACCCTTAAACATATTATTAATCTATTCTCGCCCAGTACAACGAAAGACTGTTTTAGAAGGTCAAAGAGATAAGTTTGTGTTATCACTTGATCTGGGGCAAGAAGAAAAGCCTATTCTTACGTAACTAGCGAGTAAACGAAGCCTAAAGTGGTCTTCCATATGGAGCCGTGGAGTTCTTGGACTTATTGCTAAAGGCGGTAAATTTGCGNTACTCTTGTGGCCGTACCAGTCCAGCATTGATGATAAAATGCACGCATATTAAAACTCGATCTTTAGATTCATTTGATTCACTCTTGTGGCCGTACAAGCAGCCCCCCCCCCCTCCCCCCATCCCCCATTGATGATAACGTACAGGCATAAACTCTGTAGATTCATTTGAGTCAGTCTTGTGGCCGTCCTAGCCCCCTATTGATGATATAAACACACGCATAAACTCTACAGCTTCATTTAGTAATTTTTTGTTCTGATTATTGATAAAGACCGCAAAATACATAATCCTGTTAAACCCGCTACGCTGCGCATTTCTCAGAAACTCGTCTGTCAACGGCGTAATAAGTAGCTTAGAAATACACATTATAACGGGGGCTGCCATTCCACGTTTTGAGCACGTGTCTCAAAAAAGTGCGAAAAATGTCTCAAAAGTTGCTTGAGGGGCCTGGTGACGCAAAGTGCAATGGCTTGGGAAATTGCTATAAACCGTGGTGAAAAGTCCACGTGAGGCGGGCTACTTCGTGAAACGCCAAGCACATAAATGATTCAAGGCAATACATCGTGCAATTCAATTCTTCTGTATTGCCAGGCGACTTGCGGAGAAAATTGAGCATAAGCAGCCCATTCAGACGGGTAACTTTAAACTTGCACGCTCCCTGACCTGCCTCCAGGACGCGACCTAAAAGTAGACATTTAAGTGGTATTTAATAATCGCCTACTTAGCATGAATTGTTCTCAATGAAGTTAAAAGCAAAAGATCGTGAAGTGCCTGCACAAAACATTGCAGGAGGTATCTGCAGATTTTCTTTCTCCCGAAAACTGAGAAACGATGTAATCAGTGCAATGGAACGGCTCTCGACACTGTTGCCTTGTTTGGCATTCACGTTTAAAAAAAAAACGTTGCATTTCATTGAGATCACGACTAAAACACGCGGTCACAGAATAAAGATACCGCATACTTTTTCCACACCCACACAAATTTTAATGCACTGAATTTACGAGCTCCTAGTGTTACCCTATTGACGCCGAAAAACCCTTAAACATATTATTAATCTATTCTCGCCCAGTACAACGAAAGACTGTTTTAGAAGGTCAAAGAGATAAGTTTGTGTTATCACTTGATCTGGGGCAAGAAGAAAAGCCTATTCTTACGTAACTAGCGAGTAAACGAAGCCTAAAGTGGTCTTCCATATGGAGCCGTGGAGTTCTTGGACTTATTGCTAAAGGCGGTAAATTTGCGMTAACGGAAAGAAGYGCTCTCTTCGAGCGCTCATAGCGTTGTCCTGCCTGAAAAGCCATGAAAACAATGGAACGTTTCTGTTATCTGGGTATCTTGTCGTTAGTCGCCATATATATATTGGTCTTTTTACCAGAAAATTCACCAATAATTCTTGACTCAAGTTCATCGTCATACAGTGCCAGCCGCGAAATAGACGACAKTCAGCTGTCCGAATCATTTGAAACCAAGAAATCATTCCAAGARACATCTAGATTGAATGAAAAACATCCCGAAAACTACGACTTAATAAGGACATTCTGTGATATGAAGTTTCGCAATGGTTTAATGTGTCCTCCATTGTACACGGAGCTCGGAGCGTCGTGCTCGTATAACGGATCAAAAGCAGTATGCACAGACGTTCGTCTCAAGGCGAAGTACAGTCTAAGAAAGTCTCAACTCGCCATCACTCGCATGTTGGGTATTTTTGACCTCATAGCTTCACGTCATAACATAACATACTGGTTGACATCAGGCACATTATTGGGGGCTGTGCGACACAAGGGATTCATACCATGGGATTCAGACGCCGATATTGGTAAATGTTCCTTTCATTGTTACTGCTCAATCTGTTCAGGCTTGCGTACTAGTGGCAAGGAAATTTAAAATTTTCGGGATTATTGATGCAAGGAAATTTAAAATTTTCGGGATTTGATGCCTTTTATATATGCTCTCGATGACCCTCAAAACGCTGGAAATCGCATTTCCAAGAGTTATTAGATCAAAATTTCCTGAGGGAGGACCCCCCTTAATAGTCCCACCAATCCAAAATATGTATCGCGGTCCCTGACATGTCGCACTAGCCAAAAAGTTCACTCTACRCGCCTGCTGTTATCACTGTTGTTGACAGTGTTGTTGATGTTGGGTATTGGGTAGCTGTCTGATAAAATAATTTTTGTTGTTGTTGTCTCCAGTTGCGTAGTGATTTCATGCTGTTATTTCTTCGGTTCCTACTGCTTGGCTTTTGTTGTTTTTCCTGCTATTGCTGTTGTTGTTGCACACAGCGTTGTCGTTTGTTCTGTTATTAGTGCTGTCAGCGTTGTTCTGGGATTACATCCCTGTTAAAAGTGTGCAGCGTTTAGCACCATTTAGCATTTATAAATAGCGTTAAACCTACAATCATCTTTGGCTTTGCGTCGTTATATCGGTTGTTGTTCCTGCTATTGCTGTTGTTGATTAACACAACGTTTTCGTACTTGATATTGCTGTCAACTTTGTTAGGCTGCTATCATGTGAATCCCTGTTAAAAGTGTGCAGCGTTTAGCACCATTTAGCATTTATAAACAGCGTTAAACGTACAATCATCTTTGCGTCGTTATATCGGTTGTTGTTCTTGCTGTTGTTGATGTTTTTGTTGATGTTGCTGTTGTTTTACGGTACTTGCTATTGCCGTCAACTATGTTAGGCTACTATCATAGCTTATCATGTTAGCATCTATAAATAGCGTTAAACGTTCAATCATCTTTGCGTCGTTATATCGCAGAAATGCCTTTGAAAGACTACGAGAAGTTCTTCAGGATCGCAAGCCATGACCTCCCTTCTGATGTATTCTTTCAAAACACTGAATCAGACCCGAATCTACGACCRGAGCAATCATACTTATACGAAGGTAATTAAAAAATTCTGTTATCCAGTGGTACCTCTATTAAGCGGCCATCCTCTGAAGGCAAAGTATTGCCCCTCTATCTGACCTCTGTTTGGCGACCAACCTCTTTTAACCAACCACTTTGGAAAGACTAGAAGGTGATCGCATGATAAAAGGTTCCACTGTATGTAACTTAAAGATGACCACATCGTGATATTTCTAGCATAGGAACTGTTTCTGCTGTGCTGTGCTGTGCTGTGCTGTGCTGTGCTGTGCTGTGCTGTGCTGTGCTGTGCTGTGCTGTGCTGTGCTGTGCTGTGCTGTGCTGTGCTGTGTCTATCACCACTCTTATCGCTATTTCCCCACAAGGTTACAAGTACAAAGACATCGGCATGTACATCCGTATATGGAACCCAAGATTGCGTGACACTCACAGCTGTAACAAAGTCTGCCTGATGTACGACTGCAAGTTTCATGATGGACTAATGGTYGATATGTTCATCGYCGAGTCAGCCCCTAACGGTACATTCCCTCTGAGGGACGTTCTCTTTGAAGGCTTGCACTTTCCAGTTCCAAACAACTACAGGGAGGTGTTAAGTAAATTGTATGGAAATGATTACATGGATGTACCTASACAAGGAAGTAAAAAGCGAGTGCAGTGGGACTACCCGGATCCCCTGTTGAGCTGTGAAGAGTTTAAGAATTTGGTCGAACGTAGAAAGCGAAATCTAAAAAAGAAAAAACTTGCAAGAAAAACGCACGCTAATTCAATGGAATCATTACGGTATTTGGATTTACGTAGGAAAAATGGGGGCAATTCAGTAGTACTTAAGTAATTTAGTTGTAAGCGCGCTGTCCGAACATACACTTAGTCGATCCTGTAAGCATTGCCAGAAAATATGAAAAGCTCTTCAATAGTAGCCTTATTCGAAATTAYATCAAAACTTAACTTGAATCGAGAACTGAGTTTCAAAAGATAGTTGAAAAAGACTGTAGTAAAAGATGTAGAAGAGAAAAAGAGGGCCACCAGTTTTTCCTTATTTGGAACTCGACTTGTACCCAGGCGTCTCTCTCGCACTCGCAATGCATCAAGGATGCCTTGCAAAATGCGAGCAGTAGAGGCGACTGGATGATGAACACGTTGAAAATTTCAACTAGTATTTCAAAATATTGTGATATTATGATTATTATGTTCCAAGTAGCGTAAAAATCTTGCATGACAAATGAAAACACTGACATTGAGCAACACAATGGTTTGTTTGTGGAACGCTATATAATCGCGAGGCTATTTTTGTTCCGCCTGCACCTGACTGTCCGCCATTTTGTTAAATTTACATTGAGTAAAGAAGTTCCGGAGAACGAAGTTGCGTTTAATATGGGAGTAAAGCTAACGTAAATAAACCAGAACTAGCACAAACTTATCAACAATATCGTAAAAGCATCAGAAAGACCACATGAAACTTTCAGTGSATTTTAATCTTTATATTTAATTTGAAAAGAAAACAAACAAATTTTTTATTGCTGCCGCTGTATTTGCCTATAAATCTTCATTAATTAAGATGTCTTGACGGGCTACCTGTGATATGATATGCTGTGCCTTCCAATGAATTATAGTAAGTAAATAGAAAAGATGTTAAGAGGGCCGCTAAATAGTGTTAATAAAATTTGGAATTGCCTTTTTAATTAAGGAAAGCAAATCATACAAGAGTATCGATTCTTAAATCACGCGATCAATTGGCGGTTCCCTGTTAAGTTTATATAATAAATCTTYATTTAAATGATAGTTGGACGTGCTTTTTCATTAGATTTACTACAGCTATTATAAATCAGATAAAGTTAGGTCCGGTTTATTCGACGACTCAAGCAGAAACTTAGTCAAAAGAAATAACCAGAAGACGAAGGAYCACAGCTTCAAAGCGAGCTACATAAACAATCTTCAGAAACAGCTACGAAAGCCAAACATAAAATAATTAAAGACAAAAGAATAAGCAAACACAAATGCCATCTTTTTATACCTTTTTTGATCTATAAATAGTATTCTCTTTTGAATTTACTCGCGCTTTTGATGTAGATTGGACCAGCTCTATATAATGACCCAMWAATTAGGAGGAGCCGACGTGTTCCTGKTAGAAATATATCTGTCACAACTGGTTGCGGCCAGCTAGAAATTCATGGAAAAAGAATTCTCCAGGCAAGGCATACTTTCTAAGAATTTTTGCCAGGAAAATAAAAATTACCTAACTAAAAAATRTATAAGCCGTTTTGACTATAAAAACGTTATATAAGCCTTTTTTGACCTTAAAAAGTTTGCAAGGAACTAAATTATTTTAAAGAAGGAAGGACGCCACATTTGCTTGTGAGATTGTCAACAATGTAGCTGAAAATTACTTTCCCAGAAAAAAAAAACGTACGAGAACAGTTATTTAGAAGAATAGAACCCGTCGGCTGATCCTCCTAAACAATGACCACAAACAAAATGTTCGAGTAAATTTATTAAAGTCGACACGTACACATCACACATGTAAGATGCGCGGCGTTTGAAAGGAAAAGAAACACGAATGTTAAAGCCGATGTTCACACTACTGATTTAAGAATAAACGAAAAACAAAAAACAAAAAAACAACAACAAAGATTGAACTGAAGTTATTGAGAAAACAAAATGAATGTATTTTTCTTTGTTTATTCTTTGTTCTTACGTAGCTTATGCTTCCGCTTATGCTAAATGTTGTGCTTATGTCGATGGCTTTGTCTTTTTTTTATCCTTGACCTGCGCTCATTGTGAAAAAGTCGTAGCGTACGTGTTAACCAGGCTCAATACCTGGGTCGATATCAAAACTAAGCTCCATGCTATTACATTAACTCGGGGCTAAATAGGAAAAACCGTGTTGCCGCCACGCTGGTAGGTCCTCTAAATTGTTGAAATGATTAGGCCTTTTTTTTAAGTTTAGGAGCCCAACTGTTTTCTTTCCTGTTATTGAGCGCGCAGGTGACGGTATAGCGCTATAACGTCCGCAGTTTCCTGTTGACGGTAATAATATAATAATTTTAATATCAACGTATAGTCTAGTCATTATTTTAAKAGCACAAAAAAGATACCATCAAAGATATAGCTTTAAGATTAATGTTAAAACGTAATTGCGAAACGCTGTCATTTAAAAAAATATAGTWTCTGTGTGAAATATATATTGCACTAATACACCTTAGTATGCTCTAACTCAGCTAACTGCACTGTTTTTGGCTGTGCCTATTTGACTATCACACTTTAAAAGTCAATTTTTTTCACGGGGTTAGAAAATTAAAATGCCAACACGGCGTATACTCTATTTTCAAGTTTTATCCGTTCAAGGAAATTTATAGATTTTAAAATGTGAATTTATGCCTCTAAAAACACTGATACAACGTTTTGCATTCAAAACATACATCAGGTGCATTGTGGGTAATTGTTACTGAAACATTCACTAAAAACCTTCTTTATACATTGTCCAATTTCCAATTACCAATACCAATTAATTTTAAATGGTTTTATCCAAATCACGTTAAGTTCATTTAACAATTAGACCAGGAGGTCGATTGAACTACGAGTTGATAGTCAGTCAGGTACTKGCTATCAAATCGTACTTCACGAGACCGAGTGGTCTAATTATTTTGGAATCCTGCAAACTATAGGGAAAATTTGACAAAAGTCCATAAAGAACAACTTTTCTTGACATATTTCCGACTATTTTGCTCCATTCGACTTATGGTATAACATGAATCACCATAGTTTGGTAGCCAATCAGAATGCTGTATTTTTGATAGCCCATAATTTTAATGAATGCTATATAGATATTAATTCCAGAGGTTTTTTTAGTATGCGGAATTGTCCTAAATGCTCTATTGAATTTCATCAATATTCAATTAAACTTTTATAGTTCAGTTCGCCAACGGTTTAAATTTTATAAATAGTATAATTAAACAATCTTYAATTAAAAGCTTAAAAAGTCAATGATATTGAGTTATGGAAGTTGTAGATGTCTTACAAATGATAATAATTGGATCTGGTTGTTAACGTCGGCTTGGTTAGCGTTTTGTAGCGAGAACGAWGCAGGTGACTTAGAATGCATGAGGTTGAGCGAAAAAGGTTGTCTTGCTGTAGAATACATACACATGAATGTCTTCCTAAGTTCCTTGTTAAATCCAGCGTAAATAAAAACGTTAGCCGAAGTGTTTAAATAGATCATAGCTACTGCGGTTTTTGAAAGAGCCTCGGGGATTYTAATAGAYGTCGAAACAACTTGAATGAGATCAATAATACTTATAGGTGCCACCAACAGTACAAAAGTCAACACCAAAATTGCTATCATTCGAGAAACTTTGCTTTGTAGAATAAGTCTTAAAGAATGGTTCTTTTTCTGTTCTGTTTGTTCGCTTACTGGATTAATAACTCCAATGTTRTGTCTTTGAGTATGAATGCTTTTCATGTGACGGCAGCTTTCTCGAAATAGAAAGACGTTTGTAGGAATGATGACAATGAGCGGTAAGATATTGAACGTTAAAATAAACACGTAAAGAAATGGTATTGAGAGGGTATTAAAGTAAAAACAAATGCTTAAGGTAGATTGTTTTTCATTATTAAGTCCAATTCCAGCTGGTGGCAAAATACTGATCGTAGTTACCAGTATCCAAGCTGTCAGAACCGCGATGACCAAAAATCGTTTGCTCAAATGACGATTGTACCAAAAAGGCCACTTTATAGCGAAATAACGATCCACTGCAATTATCAAAGTATTCATTCTTGAAGCTCCACCAAAAAGCATTGATAAAGACAGGCTCACAGGACAAGGAACGTTGAGCGGGCTWTTTGGAAACAAGCTTGGAATTATTCGTATCGGCATTGAAATTAAGCAGTCTAGAAAGTCTGCAAGTGACAGATTCARRAGAAGAAAGTTTGTCGTCGTACGAAGGTTTTTGTTAATGCAAACTGCAATGATTACAGCCAAGTTGGAGAATATTCCAACGATTGATATGATGGAAAGAAGTAAACTGTAACCCACTGTTAAAGACATAATCTATATCATGCTATAAACGGTTGAGTAAGGTCCGCATTGGCTCGCACCTTTCATAAACATTGTGTTTGTTTAGAAACGACCCAGGAGAACGCTGGGAAGGATACCAAATTGATCTATTTCCAAAAATGAGGTAATAGCCTGTTTACATGGGAAAAAATTGCCTGAGGTGAATCGCACGCCACATTGCTCACGTTCCTACTTCCGCTGAATAATTTTTTTTACTCCACTTGGAAGCATTAGGCAACACAATTTATTATATCTGACTGATTGAAAACGTTAACCCGGCAAACACCTGCACATAACCCACGCCCTTCGATGAATTATAAATAGTCCCTTGGACCGTCGTCATCTGTGATGTTTCAAACTGGAATGAAGCTTATAAGCTTCCGTCAAAGTTAAATAGACACAGAAAATAATTCAACAAAATGATAGCACTCAATTTTTACATTTTAAATCACGTTAAAAGAAACGTGGTCCACCADCATTCAATGCGGTCTTGTTTTAGATTTTTCATATATGGAAAATGAGGTGACTCAGTTCGAATATCCATTCGCAATCCGTTTCCATCCATCGATTTAAAGGTCGAATCTTAGGGTGCTTTCCATTTAGGCAGAACTGGCCGGCCAGTCCACTTTATTTAGAGGTATATAATGCTTTTTGTCAACATATTTTTCAGTCATTTCGAGGTTTTCTGTAGAATAATGGATAGAATTTGAAAATTTCCTAACTAAATGGGAATGATATCATTTTCTCTGGGTCTGACCAGCCAGTTCTGACAAATGGAAAGCGGACTTACAGTATCTCCATTCATATAGTATAAAGGGATAATAAAGAGTAAGTTTTTGCTTATATTACGATGTATTTTTATTTTCAAACTTGAACAAAAGCTCGAAAGGGACTGTTGGACCACGTACCTTTAACTGCTAGCGTAATAATAATTATAATAATAATAATAATAATAATATAATAGTATAATTATATAATAGTAATAATAATTCTTACATATCTGGAAATAGTCTATCTTTTACTATGTCATGATTCAAAGTCGAACAGTGTCTATACCTCGGCAGAAAAACTGTACTAACTACGGCCGACTTCAATATCAATAAACCCAGACATGGCGCTCAATTTTTTGATATTTCTTTATTATACACCATATTTTTTAATTATCTAAATATTATTACACGATTATTAGATTATTTCATAGTTGACAAAAATACGCGTATAAAATACTCTCAATATAATCAGTAGAAATGCCTTGAACGATCACTGGAACCTCTCAGGCTGGACTTCATGATAGTTGGACCGAGTCTTCCTCCTCTGATCTTAACACATTCAAACTTGGAAGCTGAMAGTAGGAAATAACAACAATAGCTTCATTAGTTTCTCAAAAGGGGATCTTCCAACTACTAAATCTAGCTTTTTTAACAAAGAAGGCACGAACTATACCGATTTTCTCCGCCTACGCCGCGTTTCTCGTGCTGAGTAAGTTTTATTTTGGGATTCTCCTCAGGCGGTAAAATCTCTCGACACTAATTAATGTCACTGGCAATTATCGTGAAAATTCGCACCTTCACAAAGTTTTAAAATTATCCTTTAAGATATTAAAGGACTATCTGTAGTGGCGTCAAAGAAAATTTACGCATCTACATAGACATCTGGTGGCAAGAGGATTTTCGAAATAGAGCGTCTGCGCGTGCGCGTGACACAGAGTAACTGCAGGCCGAGAGATACGCAGGGACTACTAAACACATGGAGGGCCTCGGTACGAGAGTCTGGGTCTAGGGAAACTTTGTAATTTTTCCCAGTCCCTATCAGAGGTTTAGCTTTTTGAGTCATCGATGACTAAGGAATAGGCCGTTTGCATGATGTCGTAACTTTACTACAACTACCAGAGAGCCTTGCGCATTTTCATTGTTATTCAGATTTTTAATCCCCTTGGAGATTAATAAAACAATTGGCACTAATTGCATTACAAAAGAAAGTTGGCAAAGCATTCTGGTAGTTGTAGTAAATGATGCCATAATGCATAAGGCCTATCGGGATCCGATAAAAGTTATTTAGGGATTGGCAGAAGGATCAGGAATCAAAGATTTCCGTCATTTTGGGATCAAGGATTAGAGATCACTGACAAATAGAGAGAATCGGAGATAATTGAAAAAAAAAACTAAACAAAAACATAGAAAAGTTGTCATGGAAAGTTGTCAAACGGAGATTTTATTTATAGCACGATCGAAAAGAAGTATGGGTATTACTGAAATAATCCACGTATTAACCTGTTAAATCTATCAATAGTAAAAATGCTTTCGATTGTTTGCTAAATGGGTGGCTGCCAGCTTACTTAAAGGGACATGGTCCACCAGAATTCAATGCGGTCGTGTTATAGATTTTTCATATATGGAAAATGTGGTGACTTCGAATATCTATTCGCAATCTGTTTCCATCCATCGGTTTAATGTCGAATCTTTCAGTATCTCCATTCATATATCATAAAGGGATAATAAAGAGTAAGTTTTTGCTTATATAACGATGTATTTTTATTTTCAAACATGAGCAAAAGCTCGAAAGGGATGCTGGTGGACTAGCCTCCGTAGCAGACGTTCCAAGCGGTTCGATTCTCTCCCGCAGGAGAGAATCGAACCGCTTGGAACGTCTGCTACGGAGGCTACTGGTGGACCATGTCCCTTTAACAGTGAATTAACATAAACTTTCGTTCGACAAACTACTTAAATCCGACAATATTTCCATGAATTCACCCTTAGCTTCTCTCTGACAAGTTTTCTTTAAAAAAGACCTATCAAACAGCTGTACAATGAAATCTCACCTGACTTTTGATGAATTTTCTTAGAGAATCAGCCGATCTTTTACCACCTCGACAATTCCTAACGCGCCACCGTACGCCCATACTACATAAAGCAGCATCTCTATCATTAAATCGCCTTCCATAGACAAAACTTAACGCAGATACTATGAAAATAAGCAATAACAAGACGAAGGACGCTCTGTAAAGCATGGTTGCGATGGGATGCGTATTACAGAAGCATTTACACTATGAAAGGCTTATTTATAGGCTTATTACGTTATATAGAATCAAGTACAATTAATGTAGACTTGTTTAATCAAAAGCATTGAAGATTTCCTGTCTTAAGAATAGGGTAAAAGAAAGCTGTTTACGTACTGAAATGGACGCTAATTCTTGGCTATTGAACTAGAAACAGACGTAGGATTAAGTACATGAAGCTATCGCTAAAAGAACTACCACGTTCTCAGGGGGTTGTCTTTTTTTCAAAGCCTATTTGTCTAACTTTTCAAGATGCAAACGAAGCGGTGGTGGTTTGTATTAATTGAAATTWTCAGTGTAAAAGAAATTGCGATTAATTACGAAGGAAAACTTACCACCAAGGTCGAAAAAAAGCAAGACTTTAGAACCAGGGAAGCTAAAGAAAGTATTTAGTTCTTCGCTCCATTACCCRACAATGGTTCATTTCATTTCTGAACTCGAAAATTACAAGTCTTTCTTAAGGGTGGAGTTTGTCTATTAGCCTAGTGAAAACTCCTTCAGTAACTTTGCCGGCGTAATACTGCATGAAATCTATTTTACGATTTCATATTTCAGTTTGTTTTCTTGGTTTAAATTTATCGTGTGCTTTTTTTTTCTGTTTGATTACTTTAAACGCCCAAAAAGTCAGCCACAAAAGGGTTCCTTTATCTGTAAATCCATGTGTAAAAAATTAAGTCGTAATTAACCGCGCGTCTAGCCAGTGTTCAGTCCCACGTGCAGAAATTAAAAGATTTGAGTTAATCTAATTATTATAAACTAAACTCACTAATTTTCCCTGAATGGCCCTAATCAAACAATACCGGACTAATGATCTGTRTTTGATTAAAAACGCTTGTCAGTAATTAAACGACTTAAAACAGTCTTTCTCTTAGTTTTATGCTGAAGTTTCGTGGCACCCACGCTAAGATACTAATAATAAGTGCGAGATCTAGAGCCAATTTTAATTTCTGCACATGTAAGCACTCTGTTGTCTAGTGTAATTTTCCAAATGTAAGACATCGCGGAAACGAATTTGACGCTGATGGAACGCCTCGGTATTAAAGGACCATCACTAACCGTCATGCAATGCGACTGGCTTTATCATATATACGGCAAAAAATTGTAATTTTTGAGTTGACTTCAAATATCCATTTAACAATTCGTTTCCATCCGTCGGTTTTAAGGTTAACTCTTAGTAAAATCTCTCCATTCATAGAGCGTAAAGGGATAATAAAGAGTAAGTTTTTGCTTATTTTTCCTTAGATTTTATCTTCAAAGCATCAACAAACTCTTGCAAAAAGGATGCCTTTTGGTAATGGAATTTTAACATTTTCGTAAGTACTTACGCTGGCACGCGCGTGTTATGTTTTTATCGCAAGCTTTATTTTATAATATAGAGGTGGGCGTTTCGAGTGAAAAATTTAAATCAATCACACTTCAWTAAAAGACTTTATTCATTTACAAGCAGTTTTCAGCTGTTTGACTGATTGGTCGTTGACGATYTCTGCCYTCTCTTTTGACGAAGTTTATTTGAAGATGTCGTCAAAGTCCAWTGACGGTCTTTGGTCCTAAAGAAACGAGGAGAAATGAGTCGAATGTTAATTTTTGAAATGTTACTTCAATTCTCTGTAATTTTCTTTCCCTTCTCTTCCCATTTTCGTCTTATTCGTTTATCATTTTTCATTTGATCCGCATTCCGTTACTTCCTACTGCCTGTATGTTCTGCCCTTGGTAACTTTCTTGTTTCCGTCTTTGCTTTTTCCCTTACTTCCCTTTTTCCTTCCATTTAAGTTTTCATTTCCCTCCGCTTTTTTTATCCTTTTCATTTAATTCATCATTCCTCTCTTCTTACTCAATCCCATAATCAAAGGTTAAATTATTATTAAAACACTGAAAGATTTTCAAAGAATTTTTAGCGAGTATTGAGTTTGTTTACTAAAAAAAGTAAAAATAAAAAGGAAAATAGAAAAGAAAGAAAATTAAAAAAAAAATAGTAAAGCATTACTTGCCTAAAATACTCAAAACATTCCTCTAATTATATGATTGAAAATATCAGAAGTCATGACCTAATTTAAGTACAAAAGCGGTATACCTGTGTATCTTTCACGTCAAGGAATCGTTTCCTTCCTCTGCATTTATTCTTATATCTTGTCCATCCGATGCAACCACGCTTCCTATCTGCCCAACCTCTTCGCCTTTCTATAACAGAACCTTCCTCCGAGTCCGCCAACTGACAATRGGAAGTTAAAACCAACAAAGCAAAAACACTGAAAACAACTAGSAACTTWGTAGAGTTCATGTTCTGGGCTTGTAGTCTTCGTAATGAGTGAAAGAAATGCTTGATTTTTCGCTTTTTAAGGCTTATTTTTATATTAGCGCTTCATAACTAATGACGTTTCTTGAAGGTTTGTTGTGCGTGGCAAAAATGTTTTTTTGACTTCGACATTTTCACTTCTWTAGATATTTCTAAAAACACATGAAAAATTCAAACTGTACTTAGCTGCACTTAKCACTAGTCTTAAATTGTATTTAAAGTTAACGCGAACACGCACTTTATAACGCCTTTGAAACTGTATTTTGAATAAAGTTTATMAATTTATAGCTAGTACCTTCGATAGTTTTAGTATATCAAAGCATTTCTCCAGGCGSCGGTTCGTAGCGTGTACGTAGGTTGATCGGAATTAAATTACTATAAAACTCATGTCTTCATTTCAATGTCCTCTTTCATTTATAATTCAAATACTTTAAAAAACCTTTATKTCACAAGATTTTYKACGTGTAATTTTCCTTTTAACACCCAGCTATGGATTTCTCTTAGTAATTCTGATATTAACACAATCGGTGGTGAGCTATATCTGTGAAAATGGCGCGCAACTTCAGATGTAAATTGTGTGGAGGCATTTGTCACTAAAAGCACGTAAGCCAGCACCTTGCTGTCATTGACAATGACAAGAATACTTAGTTTGAGATACGTACACTACCAAAAACAAAAGGTTTTTCACATTGTAATAATACAAAAGTAACGAAACATTTTAGTGAAAAACCTTTCTTGATCTCATTGTCCTTAGCACACTGTATTCAGTTTGAACCTTCATATCGGAGTGCTTCTCAAAAACACGCGAATTCACGTAGGATTACAAAGTATTTCATTGTAATTATTGCTATCTATTTAATTGTTAATGGTATTGCTTCACTATGTTTTTGAAAACAACTCTAGCTCATGTAAAAAAACAATGTTTTGACCTTGTCCCAAGCWTCAAGCGTGGGTCTTGAACTAAGAAATATTAGTAAAAAAGCAGGACTGTCATTTGGACATGGCAAGCTCCAACAAAACGTACAAGACATATGAATCTTTAGTCCATATGGCAATATAGGGGCTAGCTTGCGCTTTCCCAGAATGTCGTTGGCCAAATGCACCATGCGATTGACGAAAATACAAAGTCAGCCATATTGTTTTTCGTTCGTGTTTATTCAGGCTGTTTATCGAACAACATGCATTGGTTATTTCCCAGAAAGGTCTTTTAACATGTTCTTATCTTTAGGCATCTCATTAATGCTCTTCTAAAAGATTCTGAAGCTCGGATAGTTTTAATTTCGGCAAAGAAACTTCCTCGTTTGTCGTTTTTAGACATTCGCCATCTTGAAACTTTCATCAATACCACAATGCACTTCGTCAAAACACACATGACGTCATTAGGCTAGACCTTTGGTTGGTGCCTTATTTTTCTTCTATATAAATTTGGTATTTGCAATTCTACATTTAACGTATTCCTGCCATGCGGTTTCTCTAGCTATGTAACTTATATATTTTCACTACATTTTTACAAAATATTGAGATTTTATCATTGTCATTTAAATCTGCAAGAGCGCCGAGAAGGGCCTGGTAAACTTGACCGTACGACGAGGTTGCTAGGTAACACACTGGCCAATCAGAGCCGTAGAAACATCTCTCAACACCAAATACTGAGAGCACATGCTRAGATAAAATAGAAMAACGTGAGAAAGTGAGCTCTTGAACTTTAAGTAATGSTCCGAGTAAGAAGCAGGCAAGCAAACGGMAATGGAATGCATGAAGGTGCTAATTGTGTATTGTATAATCCATCCATCTCATTGGTTAAAACATTAAAATTTGACATAATTTCAAAAGTAAGCGCATTTTTTAAATATTTTATTTAATATGTGATTCCGACTTCATAAAAGCTTTCCTTAGCTTTAATATTAATAGCAATTCCATGTGGGGAACATAGCAAATTAGAAGCATCTTTTGGCTATTGTTTTGAGTGTTTATGATTGGACAAGGTCTTTTAATACAAAAGAAACTTTGTTTCAAAACAAAGTTTATTCACATTTTATTTTAAAAATGTGTTACCCATAGGTTGATATATAATCAGTGTGAAGACCAAGACATTCGAACATGGGGAAGTTGCAATTGCCGGAGAACAATAGAAAGTTGCCTGCTTTTTGCGCGCATTGTTACTTAAATAAGATTAAAGGTCCACTTGTATCCAAGATCCTTTGCGATCGTGCAAGTTGCTTTCTGATTGGTTCATGGATTTTTCGTATKTAAGGTTCTAGGTTGCACGTGGACCGAGATGGCTAACTCAGTACCTTGACAAAGGGTTTTAGGTCATCCACTGTCCATGATTCGTGATCCGCTTCGGTTACCATTCCTGAACTAAAGAGAAAACATTAAAATAACAGTTAAATGGAGCATCAAGTTGGATGCAGTTTGGAGGCCTTTGTCTAACTTGTCTGGTGGTGTTGGATGTTGTGGGATGGGGCATCAAACATGATGCAGTTTGAAGGAGTTTGCCAATTTGTTTGATGTTGTTGAATGGAGTATCAAACATGATGGATACAGTTTGAAGGCAGTAGGCAAACTGGTTTGATGGTGTTGGATATTGTTAGGTGGATCATCAAACATGTTGGATGGAGTTTTTGAAGGCTTTTGTCCACCTCGCAAGATGGTGTTGGATGAATTTGGATGGACATTCCAAGGCCGGCGTTTGGCCACACAAACATGTATATATTGATGTTCCATCAACAGTGGACCGCCGGCAACTAATGTTTGTTGGTATCTGGTTATAAACATTATGGTTGTCCTAGGTTTAAATCYATCACTCACAGTTTGCAATAAACGTTCTTATTCTCTGCTAACTTGGCTATGCCTTCTTTCCATTTATCGACATCTTTGAGTCCTTTGATATCAGGCTTTGCTATGTGATCCAAAACGAAGGTTAATCTACGTTAAAAAAATACATGTAGTATGTACTTTAGCCCACAATTATTGTCCATTAAAAGTACTCGAACTTAGAAACGTACTACTACGAGTTTGAATCGCCTACCTTGGAAATCTTTTGACAACATCGCAAGCAAGTTCAAAGTGCCTTTGCCTGCAACATGAAATACAATATTGATACGTTGTTTATACATCAGGACTGGGTAGTTCAAACCCGATTAGCTAATCCATGCGTTTTAAGAGTTAAGCCAGGACAAGCACCAAACCCGTCCTCGAGTGTAGTAAGCTACTTCCTACCGATCCAAGGAGGTATAATGTCCAATTGCTAGGGTGACCTCGCATTTGGGATAAGTTTCAGTTGTGTAAACAGATAAATTTAACACCGTAAAAAAATAGGTGGAACAACTAAGGCTTACTGACGTTCCGGACGTTAATTCTATCTTTGTCGGAGTAAATAGATAAGGGGATAAGTTACCTTATTAATAAGTCATATGTAAGTCCTTTCTTTTCTAGAAAACCTAAAGACGCAAAACAAAAAACAAAAAACACAAACTTGTGAAAAGGAGAATGGTCAGATTATCTGGGGGCAGGGGGAGGGGATGGCTGTTCATTAGTACACTAGACATCCTTCCTGCTTATGTCACACATGATGTCATTTAGATTCAACATTCCACTTTTTATTCAACATCCCCCCCTCCTACCCGTCGAATTTCTAGATCCGCTCTTGATGTTACTGTCCATATGTCTTTGTTGCAATTCTTTTCTTGCCGATTATCACTGAAATATTGATAGACAACATGGTTTAACGAACAAACCTAATCCTCTAAGAACATCTTCCCGTCTGAGCCAGCCATCATCAGATTCAGCCTCGACAATATGACGGACACCTTTGAACTTTGCATATTTCATGTACTTGTCAAGAACACATTCTAACTGAAAATTGAAAAAGTCAATATACCTATATTCAGTGTTTTTTCTTCTCTGGCTGGAAATTCCACAGCAATTCCTGTATAGTCCGGTTATTATAAGTGTATGAGATTGGGGATGTATGTAAAGAATGAGTGTAGGTAGAGAAAGGGTGTGCTTAGATAGGGATTGTGACAAGGGGGTGTAAATTGAGAAGGTGTGTGTTAAGTTGTATATATACATTTCCCTAGGGTTTGTAAGTACAAGAAGTGGTTGTTGTAAGAGGTGTAGGTAGAGAAAGGGTGTTAGGGGTGTGAGAAGAGAATGGTTTGACAAGAAGAGAAGATAGATTGGGTGTGGTCAGGGGTATACATTTTCCTAAGGGTGCAAGTAGAATTAAGAGGATTGTGTTTAGAGGTGTAGGTAGAGAAAGGGTGTGGTCAGGGGGGTGCAAGAAGAGAATGGTGTGGCAAGAGGAGTAAGAAGATTGGGTGTTGTAAGGGGTATACATTTTCATAAGGGTCCAAATAGAAAGAGGTGTTTAGAGGTGTTGGTAGAGAAAGCATTTAGGGGTGCAAGAACAGAAGGGGTGTAGTCAGGGGCACACACTTTCCTAAGGGTTTTTGGTTAGAGCTGTAGGTAAAAGAGAAAACTTGTTGTTTTAGATGCAGCTAGAGGTTTAACAGGATAACAATGGAATAAGTGTGAAAATGCAGATCCATACTTCTGGATCTTGTAAGTCCACCCAGCCTATAATACCCACAATAGTACTGTTGTTTTTTGATTGCTCAATAATCCAATCTATAATAACAAAATTAACAAATTATTATTTAAGGAATWAAAGACGAAATTCCGTGTTTGATACTCTGATCAAAACACGCGGGATGTAGGGAGAGCACGAGAGAAGCGTAGGAAACCACGAYGCGTAGCGGAGTGGTTTCCAGCTTTTCGAGTGATCTCCCTACATCCCAAGTGTTTTGATCAGAGTATCAAACACGGAATTYCGTCTTTTATTTCTTTTCTAAAATTAAAAGAATAAAAGAAATTTTTGACGCGCGCGAGCGTGTTTTGATACTGTAATCAAACATGGTYTTYGACCAATCACAGCGCGCGTAGTATCCTAATTATTTTAGAATTTAATATACCATCATCATTATTGATTTACTTTATGTTACAAAGTGAGGGGCGTCAGATATCTCAAGATGAAATATTAAATTGATGGATTAAGGGCTGCTGTAAATGAAAGTTCTTTCAGATGGATTTCTCCGAATGACCCCCATTCAGATTTAATTTATTTTCTTATTTATATTATTCATACTAGGTATAATTTCAATTTCTATATTTTTATACCCTAAAAATTGGGCTATTCAACTTAATCAGCACACCCCCCCCAGGATCACCCCCACCCTCTTCCCCTTGRTCCACCTTTGTAATTACTTCATCTTCAATGCACTATTACCAGTTTCTGTGTAGTTTTGGTTGACTTGAATAAAGACAGCTTTTCGGACAGGACTGGAATCTTGCATTGCCTTCTCAAGTTCATCAATCAAAAATGGACGGCAAATTTTTAACATCTGTGGTGGCCATGGATAATGATAAGTTTTATTGTCCCATAAATCTGGTGAATTGAAAGTCTTATTTTAATGAAAGTGAAGTAGAAAGATATCTAAGTTAAYGATGCARTACTCCAATTTCGAGTTCTGGTTTGCTCTGTGTTAGCCTCAAAACCAAGTAACATATTCTTTTGTTTCACTGATAGCTCGAGAGAACGCATGGAATTTGTGAAGAAAGACAATAAATTTGATTTGAAATCACACTTTTACGCTCACAACTAAGAAATATTTTGCGCACAAGTGAGGCTAACACAGAGCATTGGAGAATTCGAAACTAGAGTATTACAGCAAATCTTTCAGACACCATATAGTTAGTCTGGTTTACATACTAGGCTGTCTTTTCTTTTGCCATTGACGTGCTCCGTACATTACGGTTTATGCAAACAAGGGCAAGTTACCACCACAACTTATGTACAGAAACTCTAAAGACATTAGACTTGTGGAGTTAAAAGAGATGAAGATAATTGACAAGAGGAAGATAAATTTTCTTTGTATATTGTTGTGTCTATAATTAGCCAGCCCACACTCAGACTTACATATGTACTTATTTCAATGCACGGCTGACTTTCATTTTTTTAGGCAAGTCTTTTCTTTTGTTCTTGGCGATGCACTGTTTATATTTTAGACAATAGAGTTAACCATCACTGAGGACTGAGTGTGTCTCTAAAACACTAAGTAAGAGTATTTATGGGCCATTTGACAAAGTGATTACAGGGAAAGGCAACTGCAAAATTTCGCCCCACCATCCCCCCCTGATGTGATAATCCTTCCAGCCCCATGACTAACTCGTGATCACTATAAACAACATTACGTGAGTGTAACAAACTAAATTAAAACCTGAAATCTATAATTGCTATAGAAAACAATAAAAACATCTATGAAAAATCAAAATAAGCAAATCATTACATGTTATAAGTAAATAAATAAA